TAAGTGTATGATGTTTTGACCGTAGTATGAGGCTCAAACAGCAATACGTTTGCGTACCACCAAGCGACTATGGTAAACCACTACGCATCATTTTGAGGTGACAGTTTGGTCTTTTTGTGACAATCACTTTCCGGTATTCTTATTTACAAGTAAATTTAAGGAAAATTACATGGAAAATACCGTAAAATTACAAGTTTGTGGTAAATTTACAGACTTTCGGTAAATTTACCAGACATTCGAAGGTAAAAGTACACTTTTTTTGTATTTTTACTATACTGTTCCTGTAAAATTACCAAAATGGCAATTTTACATAAAATGTGCAGGAAAATTACCATAGTCTGTAAAATTGCCCCACCACTTCTGTAATAAATTTACCAAAACTTCTGTAAAATCACTAATATTTTTAACAGTGTAGGGACAACCGCGAAAACTCAGCGTCAAGTAGGTCACACGCAGCAACGGTAGACTGAGGAAGCATGCGCTGTAACCTAATTGACTTATTTCCCACGCGAAGAATGGCTGTTCCCGAATCATAATCAATTGTTGCCCGATATTTTTGTAAGAAATCATCACCAAGAATGAAATCAACAGACAAGGGGCAAACCAAAACAGGGTGGTCAACAATAAAACCGTCACCAAAATCCAAAGAAGGGTTATACCAGGTACCAGGTGGCTGATTCACGCCGTGCACTTTCGTAGTTATACTGTACCGCATGCACGCGTGCGGGCGGGTTTGCCTATCCTCGCTGCCCACGGCTCCTTATGGCCCCGTGCGAGTAGGCAACCCGCCCGCACGCGTGCATGCGGTACAGTATACTACAAAAGTGCACGGCGTGAATCAGCCACCTGGTACACTCCACGACATTTCATATCACTCTTATTAGCAACTCTGATGACAACATTAGCAGGCCGTAAACTTTTAAAATTTGTACAAAATCTTTCATCCAAAATTGTCCGTGAAGCACATGTGTCTAAGTAGCCACGCAACTGCAATCCATCAACACTTACACTAACAGGGAAAAGTTTGTAAACAGTGTCTTCTGCCTGCAGCGAACCGACCTTGACAATGAAAGGGGCGGGGGGAGGGGAAGGGGTTGACTCGGGGGCCAGGTCACCGTCAGTCAGGCACACTGTGCCGCACTCCGCCTGCACTGAGGAGGGAGGGGGAAGGGGAGGGGAGCTGTGCCGCTCCGGGGCCTTAGAGTCCTATAGGGGAGAGAAACGCCATGGGTGTCTTGCTCATCTGCCAGTAGAATTTTTCATGGCGGCCATCTTGGGGAGTCTGCGGGGCGCGCGGGGTTTGACTGTACGCACGACAGAGTGACGTTGGCAGTTACTTCTATTTTATTGCCAACAACAAAGCGATT